AACCTTAGAGACACGTTTCTCCGCCCTGCTCAGGCCTTACAAAGGTCATCCCTCCCTGCAAACTGCATCCCCTGAGCTCCTGTGTCTCTGGCTTCGAGCTGGATTTGCCAATGAGAGACAGCAGTAAATGGAGGCCGGGGAGTTCTAGCCCAGCTGCTTCTTTGCCTTGGCACCACAGTCCTGCCAGAGGCTGCTCCATCTGTGACTACCAGTTCCTGCTGGGGGGGGTCCCCCTTCCAACTGTTGCTGACCGCTCTCCCACAGCTCCCTTGGTCTCCTTGAACAGCACTGCTCAGCTTTGCTCCTTCAGGCCTGATGGTGGGGTCTTCCCACTGTTGCTCATTCTTGGGTACCTCAACATCCTTTGTAGGCTTCCTCAATCCTGCTCACATCTCTGTAAATAGCTCTTTCATTAGATATGCTTCAAAATCCCAGCTGAAATTTCCTTCTTCCTGTTGGGTTGTTAATATAGAGACCACCTGGTCCAAATTCCCATCCAATGCAGCAATCCCCTCTGCAACATCCCCAGCCTCTATTTACCCACTTCCAGCATTCCAAGGCATCTACTCCATCCATAGACTGTCCTATTATTAAAATGTTATTCCTACTATTAAAATGTTATTCCTTTTTTGGAGGCAAAAATGTTATCCCTTTTTTGGAGGCAAAAAAGATCTGCTTCCCATGAAATCCTATTTCTGTCATCTGAAGCACACAGAATAAGCCTCTTCTTTCCTCTACCTGACAGCCCTGTAAATATTGCAACAAAGCTGTCATGACCTCCCCCAAGTCTTCTCTCCAGGCTCAATGCATTCCACTTATTTTCCACTTTACATTTCTCCATGCTCCCATTTAAGCACCCTCATGTACTTTACTCCCTCATGAAAATGAGGGAGTAAAGAAAAGGGAGAATAAATTTATAACAATGGATTGGTGTGAGTGGTAGGATCAAGAAACCAGGAAGGAAGCAGAATCTCCCAATTTCTGGACTTATCCCTGAGGCTGACTTGTCAGCTTCCCATTATACCTCTTTCATTGTTATTACCGCTGAAACTCGTATCACTTCATCCATTCTCTTTTTTGCAATTTTTGTTGTGAAAATAGAATAACATAAAAGTTACTATTTTAACTGTTTTTACATGTACAGTTCAATGGCGTTAAATACATTCAAAATATTATGCAACCATCAACATTATTCATTTCCAGACCTTTTACATCATCCCAAGCAGAAACTCTGTGCCCATTAAACAACAAATTCCCATCCCCTCCTCCCTCGGTCCCTGGTAATCTCTGTTCTAGGTCTGCCTCTAGGAGTTGCCTATTCTCATAAATAGAATCATACAATATTTGTCCCGTTGTGTCTGGCTTATTTCATCTAGCATAATGAGTTAGGGTTCATCCATGTTGCAGTACGTACTAGAATTTCTTTCATTTTTAAGTCTGAATAATATTTCGCTGTATGTATATACCAGTTTTGTTGGTCTATTCATCTGTTGACACACACTTGGGTTGCTTTCATCTTTTTAACTCTTGTGTATAATGCTGCTGTGAACAAATATCTGCTCAAGTCCTTGCTTTCAATTCTTTTGGATATGTACCCAGAAGTGACATTGCCAGATCATATGGTAATTCTGTGTTTAACTTTTTTGAGAAGCTGCCAACTTGTTTTCCACAGTGTCTGTCAATACCATTTCTCATTCCTACCACCAATGTGCAAGGGTTTCAATCTTTCCATATCCTCAGCCAATACTTGTTTTTTTGTTTTATTCTGTTTTTAATTGAGATAAGGTCTCACTCTGTCACCCAGGCTGGAGTGCACTGGTGTCATCTTGGTTCACTGCAGCCTCTGTCTCCTGGGCTTAAGTGATTCTCCCACCTCAGCCTCCCAAATAGCTGAGATCACAGGTGCACGTATCCATGCCCAGCTAATTTTTTTTTAGTTTTGGTGGATACAGGTTTCCTCATGTTTCCTAGGCTGGTTTCAAACTCCTGAGCTCAAGGGATCTGCCTACCTTGGCCTCCCAGAGTGCTGGAATTACAGGCGTGACCCACCAGGCCTGGCCCAACACTTGCTTTTTAAAAAAAATAGTAGCCATCCTAATAGGTGTGACATTCCCTTTAAAATTTTTTTAAAAGGTTTATTGGGGTAACTGACATACAATAAAACAGCAATATTAACGTGTATAATTTGATACATTTTGACATATGTATATGCCCATGAAACCATCATCAGAATCAAGATTATTACTACCATTTCTATTACCCCAGAAGTTTCCTCAAGCCCCTTCATAATCTCTCCCTCCTACTCCTCACCACTCCCTTTCCCAGGCAACTTCAACCAAGTATTAATCCCCTATGTACTTCAGTTCCCCTTCCCTCACCTGCTCATTTCCTTCCATCTGTGAAGCTTGATCGCTTGGATCCAAGATGAGGGCAAAATGTATTAGCAGATACATTCAGTAACTTTTACACATACCAAGTTCCCTGCTCCCAGCAAGCCAGTCATAAGTACGAAGAACTTAGGAAACTTAAGATGAAGTTGAAAATTAAACTTGCAGTCACTGCTTATACTCCCTCTTTTCCAAACACATACAGAGAAATCAGATTTAAATTGCAATTACCTTTGAGGTAAGAATTCTTATTACGATTTTATAGACAAAGGAACTGAAGTTTGAAGAGGTTAGATAACTTGTTCAAAATCCCATAACTCAACACCAAAAGCACAAACCATAAAAGAAAACATTGATAAGCTGGACTAGATCAAAATTTAAAACGTTTGCGCTTAAAAGACACCAACAGGCTGGGCGCAGTGGCTCATGACTGTAATCCCCAACACTTTGGGAGGCCAAGACAGGTGGATCCCTTGAGCCCAGCAGTTCAAGACCAGCCTGGGCAACATAGTGAGACCCCCATCTCTACCAAAAATACAAAAATAGCTGGACGTGGTGGTGCACACTTGTAGTCCCAGCTACTCCGGGGCCTGAGGTGGGAGAATTACTTGAACCTAGAAGGTCAAGCTGTAGTGAGCTGTGATTGTGATTGTGCCATTGCACTCCAGCCTGAGTGATACAGTGAGACCCTGTCTCAAAAAAAGACACCATTGAGAACATAAAAAGACAAGTCACAGGCTGGGATAAGACGTGTGCAAGTCATATATGTGATGAAAGACTTAAATCTAGAATATATAGAGAGCATTTAAATGACCGACACTTAGAAAGTGTTTGCCAAATTTTTTTAATGAGCAAAAGATTTGAATAGACATTTTCCCAAAGGTAAAATATCGATGTCTAATATACAAAGACAAGATGCTCAAAATTATTATTCATTAGGGAAATGCAAATTAAAACCAGAAGACAATACCTCTAGACACCCACTAGGATGGCCATAATGAAAAAGACAGACAATAACAAGTGTTGTTAAGGAAACAGGGAAATGGAAACCCTTAGGCATTGCTAGTCAGATTGTAAAATGCCACAGATGCTTTGGAATGCAGTTTGGCAGTTTCTTAAAAACTTAAAACAAACTAATAATACAATCCAGCAATTCTATTTCTAAGAATCTATCAGAAAAATGAAAATCCATGTCCACACGAAGACATGCACACAAAAGTTTATAGCACCATTATTCATGCTAGTCAAAAACTGGAAACAGTCTAAATAGCTATCCACTGATGAATGAATATGCAAAATATGGTACATTCCTACAATGGAATACTATTCAGCAATGAAAAGGAATGGATTTCTTCACATGCTACAACATGGATGAACTTTAAAACCATTAAGTGAAAGAAGTTAGACACTAAATACATACTGCATAATTGATTCCATTTATAGGAAATACCTAGTAAAAACAAATTTACAGAAGCAGAAAGCAGATGGAAATGTTCTAAAACTGGTTTGTGGTGGTGGTTCCACAACTCAACAAATTTACTCAAATCACTTACAATGGGTGAATTTTATCATATGTAAATTTATACTTCAATAAACTTCCTTGCGAAATTACACAACTGATAAATGGTAGCACAAGTTGTAAAGAAAAGTTATCTACAAAGACCTATGATTAGTAAACCTACTCAAAGATGTAGGATGTAGAATACATAAGTTGTCGCTGGAGTTCCTCAACCTCCCTAAAAATTAACAAGAAGCTTATTTGGGGGGTTGTATTAAGCAATCATACTTTAATTAATTCTTTCGTTAAAAGCCATTGGTTATTTTATAGCCTTTTACTGTGTTTTAGAATTTTCACAGTTTTACTTCAGTCTATTATATTCCCTGAAGACTTTGTTAAATATATACAGTGGATGTATTTTTGTGATCTTAGTTTAAATTTGCTTTGTATGAATTCTTACAGTTGAAAACATTCAAGTATAGAATAAACCATTACTGCGAATACGCTCATATGACACAAGAACAATCTCTGAGCTTCTGTGAGGATGTCCAGATGACTGATGACTGTGCTAATTGCATCAGTCATGTACTCATACAGGTTCTTTCTATGAAATAGTGGTCGCCAGTTATGAGGCATTAAGGCTTCACGGATATAGACAGACTATTCCACTTAAGTGATCTGGCAGAAGCTTAGTTTTCTTAGTTTTCTTAGTTTTCTACCACAACATCCACCTTCCATCCTGCCTCCGTCCCTTCCTAGCTGGTCAGAAAAGCTACTCAGAATAAAGACTACATTTCCCAGTCATCTTTGAAGCTAGGTTTATCGGCCTGACTAAATTCCACCAGTAAGATAAAAGCAGAAGTAGAAGTGTGGGGTTTTGTTTGTTTGTTTGTTTGTTTTTTGCTTTTTGAGACGGAGTTTCGTTCTTGTCGCCTAGGCTGGAGTGCAATGGTACAAACTTGGCTCACTGCAGCCTCTGCCTCCCGGGTTCAAGTGATTCTCCTGCCTCAGCCTCCCGAGTAGCTGAGTTTACAGGCATGCGCCACCATGCCCGGCTAATTTTGTATTTTTAGTAGAGATGGGGTTTCTCCATATTGGTCAGGCTGGTCTTGAACTCCAGACCTCAGGTGATCCACCCGCCTCAGTCTCCCAAAGTGCTGGGATTACAGGCGTGAGCCACCATGTCCGGCCTAAGCAGAAGTGTTTGCAAGTGCCCTGAGAATCATGCTTAAAGGGAACAGACTCAGGTAGAAGGAACCCCTTTCCACCCTTCCACCTTTTCCCCTTCTTCAGGCCTGCCACAAGAACGTGAAGGCCAGAGCTCCAGCAGCTGTTAGAACCACAATGTGACCCTGAAGGCAGGAAACTTAGCTTTGGAAGGTAGAGAGCCTGGATAATACCCTAGAGCCACCACGTCAACATGGGTTGCTGCCTTCATTCTTCTCTTATGGAACAGAAAAACATGCTTCTGTCCTGTTTAAAACATAGGAACCAAGTTTCTTTTACTCACACAGAGCCTCATTCTATGTGACACAAGGTCTAACAGAAAAAGATCCAATGGAATCCTTTCTCTAAGAAATGAGCAGAGAGAGGAGAGCAAGGCAGTGAATTTATTTCTTTGGTTTTTTTGGTTTGTTTTTGAGACAGAGTTTTTGCTCTTGTCGCCCAGGCTGGAATGCAATGGCACAATCTCGGTTCACTGCAACCTCCACCTCCTGGGTTCAAATGATTCTCCTGCCTCAGCCTTCCAGCATCCCAAGTAGCTGGAATTACAGGCATGTACCACCACGTCTGGCTAATTTTTTTGTATTTAGTAGAGACAGGGTTTCACCATGTCGGTCAGGCTGGTCTCGAACTCCTGACTTCAGGTGATCCACCCACCTCAGCCTCCCAAAGTGCTGGGATTACAGGCATGAGCCACCGCGCCTGGCCGGAAGTGAAGTTCTACAGTAGCATGTCTGTGAGGCCTCAGCACAGAGGTCCGGTCACTCAGTAGCCACGGTTAACGACTACACCTGCTATGCTGGAAACCACCTCAATAATGAGATTCGTAGAACGATACTTAATAACTGCTCCATAGTGATGCAGCAAAAGGTAAATACACACACATCAGATGTTCATGTCCTAAATCTGATTTATTTCTTCCAACATAAAGAGGGGAGAATTATTGTAAGGTGAAAGCTAAGTCCATCAAGGAGTTCCTGAAATGCTGGTTTAATCAGAAGAAGTTTCTGAAAATTCTCAAACTCTGCAGTTTCTTAAAATTCTTAAAAATACAGTACTTGTTGACCATATATAAGATGAATATATTTTCTAGCTTCTCTGTCTTTTCTCTAAATTATGTACCACTCAGACTTAGACTCACCAAGACCTATGTGTGCTAGGCCTCTCAAGTGTTAGTTAATGAACATAATATAGTAGCTATCTTAGTGCTGTGTGCAGGTAAATGTTTCATGATTTTTTTGTGTGAGAAAAATGTGAATTTTTTTTTTTTTTTTTTTTTTGAGGCAGGACCTTGCTCTGTCACCCAGGCTGTCGTGCAGTGCTGTGATCTCAGCTCACTGCAGCCTCAACCTCCTGGGCTCAAGTGATCCTCCCACAGCTTCCTGAGTAGCTGGGACTACAGGCTTGTGCCACCATACCTGGCTAATTTATTTTATTTGAATTTTGTAGAGATAGGGTCTCACTATGTTGCCCAGGCTGGTCTTCAACTCTTGGCCTCAAGTGATTCTCCTGCCTTGGCCTCCCCGAGGGCTGGGATTATAGGCATGAGCCACCATGTCCAGCCTAAATGTGATGACTTTTAGACCTATGATATTGGTTTGCTGGTGGTAGCACAGGGCAGATAATGTCTACGCCAGTATCGTCAGTGAGGAATTGCTGCAAAGCATAGATTAGTTCACTGGTGGAACACAGTGTGGATTGGCAGTTCACTGGTGGAACACAGTGTGGATTGGCAGTTCACTGGTGGAACACGGTGTGGATTGGCAGTTCACTGGTGGAACACGGTGTGGATTGGTAGTTTGGGCTCCAGTGCGGATGTATTGCCAATTTTAGGCTTAGAGATCTAACAAAAGTACTTAGATGCACACAAACATTAATTCCTGCCTTCATATCATACGGCCACCTCTCAAGATGATGCCAAAGAAAGACAAGAAGTGTACGTGGTCAACACGGACGTTTAATTTGGACCTTACTCATTCAATAGAAGATGGACCTTTAGATTCTGGAAATTTTGAACGTTACTAAAAGGTTAAAATCAATGGAAAAACTGAAAATCTCACAGACGTTAACAGTGAACGCTTCAAAAATAAAATCACAGTTGTTTCTGAGAAACAATTTTCTAAAAGGTCCTTTAAATGCTTCACCAAGAAATACCTTAGGGAGAACAATCTTCGTGATTGGCCTTGAGTGGCTGCATCCTGCAAGGAGCCTCACGGATCTCACTGCGTCCCGATCAGTCACAGTGAAGATGGGTGAGTCTGAGGAGCAGGTAAAGCTTCCTTCCCAGGGCTTGGATTACCAATACAACAAATCGAGCATACGTGAGAAAGAAATATCTAGAAATTGACTTTCTGTTTATTGATGAATAAAAACATTGTACTCTTTAAAAAATTAATACCTGAAATTAATCTTCCTTAGAAGCCTCACCTTTCTTGGGTCTCAAATTTCTTCCCTGTTCCAGAAAGAAGATGGACAATATGACCTCTGCGGTTCCCTTTAGTGCTAGCTTGCTGAGGATATGAATTCTCTTCTGGAAGTAACCAAAAAATAAAAATATAAATTAAAATAGTGCATATACACTAAGTAAACACATTGTCTTCAGATATGCTGAAATGGAAATGTTCTGGGAATAAACCAACATCCTTCAGGATGTATGTAGTAAGTAAACGATTTGGCTACTGAGACAAATGACCTTTCCCTTAAGATTTCAAGTCGCTAGTTATTTTAGATCTTTGAAGTTGAAAGTACTATGTTAAAACTAAAAATATAAGTTACTGTGGAAATCAAAGGGGGACTTGGCATGTAAGTAGTTGTCCAATCTTAATACTTTTAATGGACCTTCTTGGTACAGATACCCTTGGCTATCTGCCCTGGCTGAGACAGCCACACCCCAAGCTTATTCTACTGGGTGACTAAATGCAATCCTGTGGGAAATAAAGTGGTCACAAAGTCCTTCTGCTTGTGGCTTGTCTAAACTTCCTCCCTACAGTTTAATGCACAGTATGTAGTCATCCTGGCTAGTAAGCCTAACTTGCCCAGACGGAAACAACTCAGCATGGATTAGAAATTAGAAAGTGTGACTGCAAGCCCCTGGGCCGACAGGCCAAAGGAGTGGTTTACTTTGACATTCTGAGAGCCCAGAGTCCTCTCACAAGGTACATTGTATGTTCCTGGATTCCTAAACCTTTCTGAAGTCCATTCGGTTCATCAAGAACTAACTGGGCAGTCTGATAAAGGTTACATAGTAAGAAGTGGAAAAGGTTTACTATGACTCACACCAAATAGGCTGTGATTTTCCTAGTAAGTAACAATGCTCCTTGCACATTAAATTATCCCATATTAATTTGTATGTCAATTTTTTTTATAGCTGAAGTCATACAGGCAAATTCTGAAATGGGCGAATCTCTAGGAACAGAGACAAAATCACTGGTCTGTGGCTGGGGTAGCGGATTGACTATAAAGGCTGGGGAGGTGTTCTGCTTCTTGATTTTGAAAGTAGTTTACATTCATCAAATCCATTCAACTGTGTACCTAAAAGGGATGAATTTTATTGTATGTAAATTATACCTCCATACACCTGAGTTCAATTTTTTTTTAAATCATATGTCAAAAAACACAAACCAGATAATCATATTTGATCCAATTCTCTGGGTATTTTAAATACCCCGTACACACAAAAAAAACTCTGGCTAGAATCAGCATCTCGGCTGCTGACATCAGTATTAGACCAGAAGGACACCAGACAAATGACGCCTAACATTTGCAACCAGTGCTCTCATGAAGTCTCACTTAGATAAAACAATATTTTACCATCCACTACATGGAATATATTCAGCAGTGGGTCGCCTAAGAAATTAGGCCAGAACACTAGATCAGAGTTATCTGGGACTCTAATGTGGAATTAGCTTAGTCTCTAAAACTCTAACATTCATTACCCTAAAATTCTGTCACAACTCTCAGGATGCATTAATAAAATGCTTGTTTATTTCTTTAGGCACTTTGATGAATGCCTCAATAGCATTTTCTTAATTGAATTATGATCAATCACTAATAATTTTTTCTATGTATAATACTTCAAAAATTTCAGTCTGCCCCAGTAGATTTTCCCCCAAGCTTTTCGATGCCAGCACTGCTAAACTTACAAATCTGAACTTACTGACTGGCTAAATTTATTAACAGGTCTCAGCGTTCATACGATATAACATTCTCTAAAAGAATTAACATACAATTGTAGCATTTCACTCTTTACACTGAAAAGACAATTTTTATTACTAAAATCAAATATCTAAAATTATTTTCCTAGATATCTAAAATTCTTTTCTTACACTAAGAAATGCATTTTACATCTTAACCCAGTATAGACACACACACACACACACACACACACACACACACACACTCTGAGAAAAAAAGATTTAATGAAAAAAAAATCCTTACTATACGTGGTGCACTCCGACATTCTGTTCTATTTTGCCTTTTTCTTAAATGCTGGTGATGACACATTCAATTGATTTTATGACCTACTAATGGATTCCAGTCCACTATTCAAAAAGCACTGTTTTAGGCCTTTGCATATGTTAGTGTCTCTGCTTGGAATATGGTTCACTTTTTTCCTCTCCTGGCCAACTCTTACCTGTCTGTCAAGATCCAGTTTAGAGTGTCTATCCGTCTCCTGCTCCCTGGATTAGCACCCCTCTGTGTTCCCACAGCACCTCTGATACACCTGACACTCTATGTCAATCTCTTCACCGGCTTGTTGCCTCCTCTTGACAGTGAGACTCTAGAGGGCAGTGATGGAGTTGCTCATCCATGGGTCCTCTCTGCCTAGGAGACAGTGCCCAGCATAGAGCGGACCTTCAATGAATAGCGCGTAATGAGTAACTCATCTATTCCAGTTTTCATCAGGGTGGATTGAGATGTCCAAGATTACAAAATCTGGCTGTCTCCTGAGGGAACTCCCACACTTTTCAGTAGCAGAGCCACCCAGAGGTGTCTCACTTCAGGCCACAGCGCTTCTCTCCCCATTAGGGTTTAGAGCAGCAATTCTCAAAATTTTTAATCTAAGAATTCTTTTACACTCTTAAAATTAATCAGGACCCCAATCAGCACTGATGTATGTAGGAGAAAGTTATTTATATATAATTATTTACTGAGAAATCCAGAACATATACATTCATTCTGACTATCAATGTTTACCAATATAAAAATGGAGAAATGTTTAAAACGTAAAATTACACAGCGCAGTTTTCAGTAGTGTCATCACGCGTCACTTCTGCACACTCCGCTCCATGCTCATCAGAACGAGAGTGCAAATAACATCTTAGTAGTATTACAAAATAGTTTTGACCCCACAGGTCCCTGAAAGGATCTCAAGGACTCCAAAAAGTCCTCAGATCATACTTTGAGAACCACTGATACCGAGCATTTAAGCTATAGACACTGCTGCTTAAGGGGCAGTGTCTATAAAAAAAGGACCCCTGCTTTTATCACCTGGGTCTGGAACTGAGAGATAAGTATTATGTGGGTCAGCTTTATTATTGACAGAGCTCTTGGATAATATGGCATAATTGCATGGTAATAATGATCTTCTGAATATTGTCCCTCAAACTTATCATCTAGTCACGGTGCTAAAAACTGCAGCTCTCCCCCTAGAGGCAGGCTCCTGTAAAACGTTCGAGCCAGAAGGGCAGTCTGGAACGCAAGCACCCTGTGGGCAGTGCCTCCCAGAGCAGAAAGGGGCTGGGCTATGCTCTCCCACGGTGCAAATCGGAAATGTCACCCTTCTACTCCTGGGAGGAGAAAATAAGGAGGCAGAAGAGAGAAGCCAAGAACTCTACGCGAGCGGGCTCCCTCGACAAGGAAAAGAACATCAGGAATGGATAATAACGAGCTAGGCGCAATGGCTCACGCCTGTAATCCCAGCACTTTGGGAGGCCGAGGTGGGGGTATCACTTGAGGTCAGGGCTGGGCAACATGGTGAAACCCCATCTCTACTAAAAATACAAAAATCAGCCGGGCATAGTGACAGGCACCCGTAGTTCCAGCTACTTGAGAGGTTGTAGCAGGAGAATCGCTTGAGCCTGGGAGGCAGAGGTTGCAGTGAGCCGAGATCACACCACTGCACTCCAGCCTGGGTGACAGAGCAAGACTCCGCATCAAAAAAATAATAATAATAAAAAAAAGAATGGATAATCACTATTACCCCATATGGCACTGAGCAGCAAGTCTGTTGTGTTACCTAAAATTACGTATTTTAGCAGAGTACCAATTTTATGAAATTTTCCTGTCACTAAAAAAAACCCTGCATAATTTGTGAACTTCTTTGTAAGAGTGAATACACGATACACTGAGGTATTATTTACACTCACAGAAATTGGTATCACATTTTAATATGGTAACATTCCCATATGTGAATGTCTGCTTGGACCACTGTTCACCTTTCTTCTCCTGGTTCATTCTTGCCTGCACCTGCAATGCTATGCTAACATGTTAAATAATTTTCTAAAAAATCTCAGATACTTGTCATCTATGTTAGGAATAATGTGTCTTCTTAAAGTAACTCCAGGTTAAAGAACTTCTACTTATAGGCATCAACTCAACAAAGACAAATCCCGGAATGGGGATGGAAATGATGGCTCATGTCTTAGCAAACTATCAGTACATCTACTAGAACTGGGTACTTCTTTAACCAATATGAGCACAGCAAAGGTCAGAACTAGGTTGTTTTTCATAGTCAAGAGCACATTCTCCCAAGTTTTCTGTTCCTCAAATACTACATACAAGATTAAGCAGCATTACACGTAAACCATATCCCTTGAGCGTATACATCCATGACATAGAGAGACACTAAATTAAAGTGTCTGATGAGTATTGTGAAGTCTTTCTTGCCAAAGAGAATGATTTTGTTGAATTGATACTCTTGGCCTAGAGAAGTGCTAAACTATTCCTGAGTTTTCCCAGCTGTCTCGCACTTACAGTGTTTCAGATAGCAAGACTTATGTAATTTGCATCCCAGTAAATATATCTTAAAGGGAAGAGATGTCAGTGACATTAAATTACAGCACAGCTTGGATGTCAATGCCACAGGAAAGAGAAGAGATGGGAAAAGAAAGTGTCATCACTGAGCAAGGTTTTAAAAAGTAAAATTTCCCATGTACTTTAGACAAACATCAATCTTTGGGCAACTAGAAAGAACTTAAGACATGCTGATCCAAAGGCCATAGTCCAAATCTTTTTATAGATTCCTCAGAAAAATAACTTAGGATAGATAAAAGTTGTCAGTGTTTTTTGTAAAAAATAAAGTTACAGTGATTTTTAAATGAAGCAATGAGATGAAAATAAAAGACTAAAACTCTTTAGAATAATGATTTATGAGTAAACCAAGGCAAAGCTTCATTTCAATTTGGAATAAAAATTATTATGAAGCTAAAATCCAAGAAATTGAACTCTAGGTTTCATACTACTTTTTAACATTTTCCTCTGCCAAATAAATAAAGGTTATTTTTTTCCCTCGTCCCTTTCCTTTCCCCT